TTCATCTTTGGTCGGTACGGAGAAGAGTTCAAATGCTTGATCTTGAATTGCTTGCATAGTGCAGTCATCATATCATTGTTCAAATTGCTTGCATTGTCAGTAATGATGGCCTCTGGCTGTCCATATCTGCAGATGATCTCTCTTTTGATGAAGCGAGTGACCACTTTCTTGGTAACACTAGCATAAGATGTCGCTTCTACCCATTTGGTGAAATAATCAATAGCGACCAAGATAAATTGGTGACCATTAGAAGCTTTAGGATTAATTGCCCCAATCACATCAATGCCCCACATGGAGAATGGCCAAGGAGCAGACATATTATGCAGTAATGAAGGCGGAGCATTAATATGATCAGCATAGATTTGACATTTGTGACAAGCTCGTGCATATTTGATGCAATCATGTTCCATAGTCAACCAATAATATCCAGCCCGAAGAATTTTTCTAGCAAGCATTCTTCCATTTGCATGTGTTCCACATATCCCTTCATGGACCTCAGTCATGACTTGTTTTGCTTCTGTTTCATCAACACATCTCAACAAGGTCATATCAGCAGAGCGCTTATACAATGTATTTCCGCTCAAGAAGTATGAAGCTGCCAATTTTCTGATTGTCTTCTTGTTCACCTCAGAAGTATGCAGAGGATATTCCTTATCTTGCAAGAACTGTTTAATATCATGAAACCATGGTTTGTCATCAACCTTGATTTCCATGCAATGTGCCGGTTCTTGACTAATTTCAATCATCAAAGGTTTAATTATATCATCACTGGAGATTTGGATCATGGAGGCTAAAGTTGCCAAAGCATCCGCAAACTGATTCTTGGCACGGGGCATATGATTTAAGGAGATGAATCTGAATTTTCTTATGAGAGTTTCAAGGTATTGGTGATAGGGAATAAGTTTTGGATCCTTGGTTTGCCACTCGCCATTTGTTTGACATATGATTAGCGCTGAATCACCATATATCTCCAAATCTCGGACATTCATATCTAGAGCAGCATGTATTCCTGCAATGCAAGCTTCATATTCGGCTATGTTGTTGGTACAAGAAAAATCAAGCTTTATAGCAATAGGAAAATGATCTCCCTTTAGGGATACCAACACGGCTCCAAGGCCACAACCAAGCTGGTTAATAGCTCCATCAAAGAAGAGCTTCCAATTATCTGAATCAGATTCTGCCTCCAATGCCAAAATGTCCTCATCAGGAAAATCCCAATCAATAGGCTCATAATCCTCTGCCGCATGTTTGGCTAGATGATCTGCAATGGCTTGCCCTTTTATGGCCTTTTGTGTGGTGTAAACAATATCAAATTCGGAAAGCAACATATGCCACCAAGAGATTCTTCCAGAAAGGGTAGGTTTTTCAAAAATGAATTTTATGGGATCCATTCTTGGAAGTAGGTAAGTGGTGTTGGTTAACATGTAGTGGCAAAGTTTCTTGGATGTCCAGGCTAAGGCACAGCAAGTCTTTTCTAAGGGTGAGTATTTACTTTCACAATCATTGAACTTCTTACTCACATAATAGATGGCCCTTTCTTTCTTGCCTGAGTCATCATGTTGGACAAGGACTGCTCCCGTGGATTTTTCAAGGACAGTGATATATAGGATGAAAGGCCTTTTATCAGTTGGTGGCACAAGGATTGGTGGGTTTTTGAGGTATTCTTTGATTTTGTCAAAGGCTTGTTGGCATTGGGCATTCCAGGTATGAGGGTTGTCTTTTCTGAGGAGTTTGAAGATAGGCTCACAAATGGTGGTGAGGTTGGCAATGAAACGGGCAATGTAATTAATTCTACCCAAGAAACCTCGGACTTCCTTTTGGGTTTTTGGTGGTGGCATTTCATCAATGGCTTTTATTTTGGCTGGATCAATCTCTATTCCTCGGTGGCTCACAATGAAGCCAAGTAGCTTTCCCGAATCCACATCAAAAGTACATTTGGCAGGATTGAGTCTCATTTTGTATCTTCTGAGGCGTTCAAACACCTTCTTGAGATTTTCTGTATGTAGCACCTCTTCTTTGGACATAATCACCATGTCATCAACATATAGCTCAACAATGGTATGCACAAAGTCATGTAATAAAGCAATCACAGAGCGTTGGTATGTTGCCCCGGCATTTTTGAGTCCAAAAGGCATAACTTTGTAGCAAAAGGTACCCCATTGAGTGATGAATGTAGTCTTGAGCTTGTCCTCCTTCTTCATCCTTATCTGATTGTACCCAGAGTAGCCATCAACAAAAGAGAACCGAGTACTTTTGGCAGCATTATCTAACAGAATTTGGATGTGAGGCAATGGGAAATCATCTTTGGGGCTTGCTTTGTTCAAGTCTCTATAATCCACACAGACTCTAACTCGGCCATCTTTTTTCATTACAGGAACAATATTGGCCACCCATTCCGAATACATAGCTACTTCAATGAAATTGACATCTAGCAGCTTTTGTACTTCTTCTTTGACTTTCAACAGAACCTCTGGTTTCATCCTCCTTAGCTTTTGCTTGACTGGCTTAGCCTCAGAATAGAGTGGAATGGCATGAACAGTGATATCAGGATCAAGTCCCGGCATGTCCTTATAGGACCAAGCAAAAACATCTTGGAACTCAAATAAGAGCTCCATCAATTCATTTCTTTCCTCTGAGGATAGATGAGCATTGATTTTTATCTCCTTTCTGTCATCTTCAGTACCCAGATTAATGGTTTCTGTCTCTTGATTTGGTTGCAGCTTTGGTTTTTCCTCTCTTAGCATTTGTTAGTTCATGAGAAGGATCAAGATTTTCATTGTCTTCTTCATTATAGGTCTGATCATCAATCTCATATATAAAGTCTGATATGGCGTCATTGTTTAAAGATTCGTCATTAGCAAGCCTAAAAGTTTGGGATGAAAGTAAATAAATGGCCAAGTGATAATAAAGCAAAGATAGGAACATGTTACTGGATAACCTCATAGAATATATCATTAAAGAGTGGCTTGTACAATGAAAAGTTCAACTAAAGTTGCATCATGATGATTTTTTACAATGATAGGCAGGATTGCAACATGTTTCATTGAAAAGGAAAGCATGGGAATACTAGAAGCATGATAACATAAATTTCAGAAAACATAAAAGTGCTTGTTGAATCCCTCCCTTCATGTAGTCACAAGTAGAACTACTAGAGGCTGACTCTTCTTACTCGGAGATGAAAGCTACAGGGAGAAGTTTCGCTGCCCAATTAGCTTGAGAGCTTCCATTGACCAGAGAAATTCCCCTATCAAATTCCAATCCTTCCTCATCTAGAGCATTTATAGTCAAATTTCCCCATGAGTCACATAGTGATTCTTCTTTCACTGTTTCAAGGAGCACAGACTCATGTGAACCCATTGGAGCTTTTGCATGATGAATGAGTTGGAAGTTGGGGTGCTTTTCCATAAATGCCCTTTCAGCGAGCATCCTTCTCCACCTTTCCTTAGGATCTGTCATGTTGGCTAGCCCAAAGAGGTTGTTGAAGCCAAAACTATCTTCCTCATCATCAGAACAGACTTCATCGGTGATATCTTCCACCACCACTTCCTCAAATTTTGCTTGTTTTGAACATTCCCCGATTTCAAGCAATCTGTCAATGAAAACAGTACCCTCTAGATCTACATATAAAACATCCATATGCTTTACCACATATCCATCAAAAGAAGGGCACAAAATCTCAGCAGGTCGTGGAAATGTGACTCTAATGTGCGGCACCCACATTGGTTCATCCCTTGGATTTCTCCCTTGAAGTCTAGCAAGGCGTTTCTCCGCTTTAATAGCGCGCATTCTCTGCCAATCTTCCTTCTTCGGTTTGTATCCCAAACCAAAAGTGCCCCAAGTTTGAATTACTTCAATAGGCTCAAGAATTCCTTGTCCATTCAATCCCAAACCTTCTCCCAACTGATAATGACATGAAAGCATGATTCTTGCAGCAACTTTGGTAGGTTTAGCCATTTCAACCCTTTTCCCTCTGAACCTCGGGTGAATATAAGAAGCAACAGCACACTCCATTGAGTGATAAGAGGATTCATAAGTTCCCGGATCAACTCCCAAGTAAGGAATGGTTGTAGCCTTTCAGATGACATGCTCTTCCTCACCATTCATTGTGACAAGAACACCATTGACAATGTATTTGACTTTCTGATGCAAAGTGGATGGTACTGCTTCGGCGACATGTATCCAAGGCCTCCCAAGAAGCATATTAAAAGCGGGAGAAATATCCATGACGAAGAAATCCACATCAAAAGTCATAGGACCAATTTCCATTGGAAGCTCAATCTTTCCAATCACATTCCTCTTTGTTCCATCAAAAGCACGGACCACTGTATTGCACTGATTAATGTGAGACTCATCCACCTTCAGTTGCTTCAAGACCATCATAGGAATCACATTCAAAGCTGACCCATTATCAATCAACACATGAGGCACATTCATCATTCTACACTGAACTGAAATATGGAGAGCCTTGGTATGTCCATTTCCTTCATCAGGAATCTCATCATCTGTGAAATTAATATAGTTTGGAGCTAAAATTGCCCCAACCACAGTCCCAAACTTTTGAGTATCAATATTCTTAGGCATATAGGCCTCTTTCAAGACTCTGAGCAATGCATCAAGATGAACCTCAGATGATAGCATTAATTCTAAAATAGAAATTTTTGCAGGAGTTTTGTTGAGCTGTTCAATGATGCTATACTCACTCTTCCTCAAAATATTCAGAAATTCTGTAACTTCATTTTCTGACACTAGCTTCTTGGGTGATTCTTTTGGTATCTCTTCAATTCTGATGCCTTTTGACTTCAAGGCGGCCCTTCTCGATTCTTCCACTTCGGGACTCATATAGCACCGACCACTACGGGTCATATTGGACACATCATTAGCTGTGGAATTCAAGATGGTAGAGTGTTGAGGTGTAACCACAGATGATGTCTTTCCCATGAATGACTCACTAAGAGAGGTTTTCAAAACATAAGATTGCCGTGAATTCTGACTGATGACTTGTGCTCTTGTAGTGTCTTGCAAAATGTAAGGCCTCTCCTTAGTGAAGTATTCTTCGATCACCGGTGCTATGAATTTCTCTACCTCTTGGGTAGATGTAAACTTCAAAATTCCCATTCCTTGCAGCTCTTTGATCTTTCTTTGGAAATCTTTGCAATCTTGCAAAGCATGCCCCTTCATATTAGAGTGATAAGGACACACCACAACTTCACCAATCATTACCGGCAAAACATTCAAGCTCATTGGTGCGATCGGCTGAATCAGATCATACTCTATCAAAATGGCAAACAACTCATCAAAAGACCAAGAACTGACATTCTTCAACACAGGTCTATCGACTTCATCAAAGGCAACCATATTCATGGTGGGTGGCCCATGTGGAGGTAGAGGATTCTGAGTGATGTTTGGAGTACCCTTAGCCTCCTTAGCATCAAGCTGAAGTTTACCTTCATCGATGAGATCTTGAATCCTATGTTTCAAAGTTGCACAATATTCGGTACCATGACCCACCACATTGTGATATTCGCACCTAACTTGTGGATCATACCAAAACGGATAAGGTGGCCAAATAGGGTTTTCTTGCACTGTCTCCATCAATCCCACTGCAACTAACTGTTTCAGCACTTCACTGTAAGGAATTGGAAGTTTAGTGAACTGTCTTGGGTTATTCATAGGTGGGAATTGTCGCCTAGTCGAAGCTTGAGTATTAAAGTTTGGCCTCCTTTGAGGATAGGTGGGAGGCTTAAAGGCCGGAGCATATTGTAATTGAGGTTGCTGATTATAAGGAACATTTCCCACGTTATGAATTGGCTTGGCCTGACTAGTGAAGATGTGACTCAAAGTTTTCCTCATCCTCTTTCTTCCCCTTGGGTGCAAACTTCTTTGAAGTAGATCCAGAGCTTCCCATCTTGGCTTGCTCTAATTGCCTTTGAATGGTTTGAAAATCCATAATAATACCTGCCTTCAGTCCATCTTCAATTTGTTCCCCTGCTATCACTAATTGAGCAAAAGTGTACCCCACACAAGGAGCTAACCATGCACGGAAAGTCCCAGTAGTTGACTTGATAAAGAGAGAGCAAATTTCATTGTCGCTGAGAGGTGGAAGGACTTTAGCTGCCTCGGATCTCCACCGTTGAGCAAACTCCTTAAAAGTCTCATTACCCTTCTTGGTGACTCTCTGCAAGCTATCCCTTGTAGGAGCTAAACTGATATTATACTCGTACTGCTTCATGAAAGCTTGAGACACATCCTTAAAAGTCCAAATCTTCTTCTTGTCAAGAATGGAGAACCAAATGCTTGCTGGGCCTGACAGACTGTCTTGAAAGTAATGAATGAGCACCCTCTCATCATTAGCATAAGGTGCCATTTTCCTGGCGTACATCTGCAGGTGGGCATAGGGACAACCCGAGCCATCATATTTGTCAAAATCCGGCTGTTTGAACTTGAAATTTGTCTGGATTCCCGAATAGTAGCAGAGATCATCCAAATCAATAGAACCATAAGACTGTGGCCCTTGCATCGCTTTCAATGCCTCCTCTAATTGTTGCAACTTGTGATCAACCTCCCTTGATCTCCCGTCTTCTAAAACGGGCCTCAACATCTCAACCGAAGGGGTGGGTTGAGTAGCTGGCACTTGTCCCATCAAAGGTGATATGGTTGTGGGCAAGGTTGGGTTGTTCATCTCAAGTGGTGGGCATGATATTTGTGGAGCATGTGAAGATGACTCCCCCATTAGAAGCTGATTCTCATAAATAGGTGGAAACTGTAATTGTGTGACCATGGGATCCTTGGCACGATTACCCAGTGTAATGGTAGATGATGGGATAGGGACAGGTGGGACTGGTATTGTGGGTACTAAGGATGTAGGTGAAAGAGCCGAACCAGTAGTCAAAGTGGACAAAGTGATACTAATGGTCTGAAGAGTAGCAGCCATAGTTTGCATCGTTGCTTCCAACTTGTCAACCCTCTCATCCACGGCTGATTTCTCTGGATTAACAGCAATGTTTTCCTCCGACATTTTGATTACTCTAGATCTGAGCAAATACAGAGAACGCCGCTTTTTGGAGACCTTTCGCGTGTGGGGCTATGATTAGAAGAATTTTACCTAAGATGAAAATGTAAAATAAAAAGGAACAAAATTAGAAAACTAAAAAGACTTTAGCCCCTTTCGATTGGACCATTAATTTCCTTTTGAATTTCCATATGGATTCTCACATCAGCGTTTCCATCTTGTACGAAGACATCCGCCTATTTTATAATGAGTTGTGCTGAAACATGGCTTTTCATTACTAAATTACCGCACTTGAAACAAGATTAGCAAGCATTACAAAGTTGCATTCAAAGTGCTTACAAACCTTCATTCTTTTAAAGCTAGGACAAAAACTAACTAAGGAATGCACTTTGGACAAAATGGGCAAGCATTACAAAGTTGCATTCAAAGTGCTTATAAGCTTTCATTCCTTCAAAGCCAAAACATACTCATTACAAAACATGAATTCTAATACAGCCTTCTAAGCATATTGGACATGTCAAAGATAAAGTCGAAGACTGGTTGGAAGAATCCCCTCTCAATCGGATGGGTCCTTTGAGCGATGTGGTGATGAGTCTCTGCCATCCTTCCCTCGAATTGGGATACCAAGGCGGCTATGTCAATGATAATTTCACGCAAGCCAATGTCTTCTTCAAGAAGGGCTTGGTTCTTTTGCCTCTCGACTTGGAGTTGATAGCACATGTCCTCCATGGCAGTCCTGTAAAGATTACGATTGATGGTCATGTCTTGCAGTTGTTCTTCCAATTGCTCATTGGTTTTGCGAAGGTGTTCATTGTCCTTTGTCAGCTGATGCAAATAGGAGATGGTTTCTTCATTGAGCCTTTGAGTACGAGTGGAGAACTCCAACAAAGTTTTGGGTGAAGAAACTTGTGCCTTGGATGTGTGAGAATCCATATTTCTTTTCAAAGGTCACAGTGGTCCAAATAAAGGGGCTTGAGAACTAAACAAAAATGACCAAATAAAGATATCAATAAAGATTAAAGATATCAATAAGAGGATGACCAAAGATTATAGCTAATGATAAGTGTAATTGAATAGAAATGGATATGTGATATGAGACTTGAAAATTAAAATTTCCATCCTAATCATGGATTTTACTTCATCGGATATACTTTTGACAAGGAAGAAGGATTGTATTCATTCAAGCAAGTTTTCATTGACAAATCTGAATTTCTGACATTCGTACAAAAGCTCCTAAGTAACCCATTTTTCCCCAAGTTCTTCAAGTTGTGGTCTCCTTCTTTCCTTGCTTTGATTGTTTTGCTGCTTGCAATTCCTTTTGTAGAGCATCATAATCAGACAATAGGTTGTTGTAAGCATTCCTCCACTTAATCACTTTTCCTTTCAACTCTTGCTGCCTAGTCACCTTCTCAATAAGTTCCTTGTTCTCCTTTTCTCTTGCTTTAAGATCCGCCTTTAGTCGTAGCAGCCTTTTCCTTTGTTCTTCAGCAAAGTTCAAACTCCTCTTTTGCTTCCCACAAATTTCTTTAGTAGCAGCCAAATCCTTTTCCAATGAGGCAATCTTGTCCTTAAACTCCACCACTTGCTGATCTGACAACTCTTTTCCCCTTTTAAGCAACTCATAATCAAGAGCTAATTCATCATACTTCTCTAACAGCTGACATCTCTGAGCATGGCTAAGCTCCAACTTAGCGGTTAAGTCCATGATGGTAGAGTTCTTCGTATTTGTCACCTTCCATGGCAAAGAGAGCTTAGCTATCCAACTTGACCTCTATTGCTCATATTGTGATCTAGTCCCCTTCTCTTTCCATATGGGTAGCATCCTACATCTCTCCCACATCTTATGTGCCTCAGATACCTTGTTAACAATCACCGGGGAAGACATGTAATCAAAGCGTGACTGCAATGCATCATCAAGATAGGGAGCGTTTTGTGCCTTTCCAAACTGACGAGATGCCAACTCCACAGAATATGTAACCCCTCCATGAATACCCAACAAAGGAATAGAGTGATGTCCTTCGGGTGGAGCGAGATAATGAGTAGCACTCCAAGTCGGGAGAACAAATTTGACATCATTAATAGTTGCTGCTAGAAGTGATCGATGCCAATCCTCTATCTTTCTATCCTTCACAGGAACACTGAATAAAGCTTCAAATTGGGGACCCCTCAAGTGACCTTGTGCCCATGTAGTGAACAACTCGATGCAACCCAAGAAGCGGCCGGATCCTTTAGCTCGGATTTCTTTCATAGACCACAAAGTTTCGGCTACCACCGTAGAAGCAGGATTAAATGCCGAAGTGCGCAACAATTGCTCAAACAAAGCTATCACCATAGGTGCAATGGTCTTGACATAGGTAGGGAAGATCACCATGCCATAAATTCCCAATGCCACAAAGTTGATCCTTTGAGAGGGTGTCATGGCTTCCAATCTCTTTCCCAAAGCCATCAACACTGTATTCCAATCAAACCCATAAGAACCATCTCTAGTTGTCACCAATGGTCGCGAGAATTCAGATGAAAACCCCCCACATAGCTTGCAACATTTCTTGAACTTTTTCTAGTGTGAACTTCATATGTTGGGCTTGAGGAGTGAAGTTAGGAGAATCCGCCGCAGGACTACACCGTAGGAAATGATGATACTCATCAATGGTGAGCACCAACTCAAATTGTGGGAACACAAAAGCTTGATATTCTGGCACATAAAATTTCAACATGGCTCTCAACAAGTTCCAATTTGGCATCACTGACAATAGATCTCCAATGCACCCAAATCGGACCTCAAAGTCATGCTTCTCCCTTGAAGACAATAAATCGTAAGCCTCTTTCAACAACTTCAAGTCGGGTTTGGAGGTATTGACTGAAAAGATTGACTCCTTAGCTCTTTTAGCAGTAGGATGAGATGTGACATCTTCACCAAGTCTCTTCCCTTGTCTAGTTGTATCCTCGGTAAAATCCATGTCTAATGCATGATCTAACCTAAACAAAAGGCTTAAAGAAGTTAAACATAAATCATACCCTCACATGCCATACCTCATTAAATGTACAAAAATAAGCTGCCATATGCGCAAACAAAGGTTAGTGAAGTAAAATGCCCCTTTGTGTCTTAGACACAGGATTCCTAACCTCACGGGTGGGATGTTAAGGGAAACATATCCTAGGGTTGGTATCTCTCTAAGGCCACTACATGTTTTCCTAAAGGGCATTAGGCCTTCTCAACCATTTATCCTTTCGGAATCAACGGGAGATATTTCCAAAAGCTAATACACAGGATGATATTACATCATCAAGTGTCGTATTAACCAATGGAAACAACCTAATGGGAACCGGTCCTACTCCTCAAAGCGGGAAGAATTGCTCTTCCAAACCAGATTCGTAAGGATTCCAGACTAGAGGTCGGGTTCACCTCCGACACGGACCTAATGCAAAATGAGAGTGAGTGTGTGCAAAGGGCATAACACTCCAATATCCTGCATAATGGCAACCACAAAAATAGCAACATATATCCCACGGCAATCAAATAAAGCATATAAAACACTCAACAAATATATCACCCACAAACAAACCTACTTACACAGTAGGAAGGAACTCACCTAGTACTCCCATGCCAAATGCAAAAGGTAAGTAACACAAAGCAACCAACACTTAGCATGCAAAAAGATGTAAATAATCGCATAAGAGGGAAGGGACTCACCTAGTACTCCATAGCCAAGTGCAAAAGGTGAGTATATCCGCACACAAGCAAATAGACATGTAAGCATGATGCATGATGATTAAGCATATAATATCAATAATGCATGAGCATGTGAGATGATATGATGCATGAACATGTTAGCAAAGTATGATGCATGTCATGATATGACAAGATAATCACTCAAAGACAAAAATGATCAAAGCAACCACTAAAACAATGAGCAAACACGCAATAAGCAACCAACAAGAAGCAACATGCAACAAGCACATGCAATAAATAACAAAGACCCACAAAGACTCAACAAACAAAGAAAATCAAAAGTTGAAAAATTCCCCAAAGTTAAAGTATTAGTTCGACCCTCGTGAACTTAGAATTTGGAAACCAAAGATTCTGGGTTCTGTCCCCAGTGGAGTCGCCAAACTGTTGACGACCACTTAAGATTTTTTTCAAAATAAATGAAAAATTAAGTGTGAAATATAAAAAAGAGGGAGTCGCCACTCGTCCAAATTATAAGG